TTGGAAGAACTTTGCTCGCAAACCATACTTGATGTTTAAATTTCGCTGGTCGTAACCATGACGTCAATCAAGCGTAAGGACCATTCTTTGCTTGATGTTTTTGTAGCTCTGTGTGGATTTTAAAATTATTTTTTTAAAAAACACTTGAGGATATTGTAGTTGATTTGTAGTGTCAATTGACATTTTACGGAAGCACTCAATAATTTTTTCCCAAACCTATAAAAGTGATTTTTTATTAGATCCAAAGAGTTATAATCAAATAAGGTATTGTATTAGACACTTTTTTTATCGCCTAGGTGATACCGTACCGTAATGACTTTGTGTATCCGTGAGTATAAAAGCCATTAAAACTATAATGTTAATATTTTTTCAACAAAGTACAGAAAAACTAACACAGTGCTGCTTTCTTTTCGTATGAGGACTACACCAGGAGGAAAGTCTTGAATTTTTAAATGATTTTTGTGCCTCAGTGAAAAAAAAGAATTTCATAGTAAAATACCTGCGTACATTTTCATCTAATGGGCTGAATCTTTGCAGCCCACAAAAAAATGATTTGTTATCTTTATTTGTAATTCCGACGTTTCGTATTTAGGTGAATTAATGTTGCCATTAAGGAAACGTTAAACCGACACCCACGGATTTAAAACAGAAAAAAGTTTGGATGTTACCAAAACAGGGAACAGGAAAATGAAAATAGGAAAAAAGCAGATAATAAGTAATGAGATTATACTGATAGGGCCAGAGTAAAGGGAGGTTTTGTCCCTATTTTGTCTTTTTTCCATTCGCGTTCCTGTCCCTCGCTTCCTGTTTCTCGTAACATCCCAAAATTCTAACTGATTGTACTTTTTCAGTAATGCATTACGGGTAAACTTTTCTTCTCTACATTACAATAGAGATCTGGCCAAAATTAGCCATGGTTACGTCCTAATTTTTGGACTGAAATTCACCCAATTCGAGCTTTTTCACATGGGATTTATATCGCGAAGTTAGTGTCAGATGGGGAAGGAGTAGAGCTTTGCTTCGATAGGACTAGAATAAGTACTTGGTATAAATCATAAAAAAATGACTCACTTCTATCCGAAGCAACTTAAAACTAATCGACGGCTGTTTTTCAAATAAATGAAATCAGAAGGAAACAAACAAAAAGAAAAAAAAACTGAGAGCGAGAATAGAGAGTGGAAAACTAAATAGTATTCTCTCATTAGAATCTGAGTTTCCTCAGCTTGTCATCGTAAAGGGCGCCTCTTTTTCAGAAAACTTACCTGATTTTGCACTCAACCACGAGTTGTCAAGTCAAGAAATTTTCCGACGTTTATAGATGGAGGAAACTCCAGTTCAATTTTAGCAACCTTGTGTTTCGAGTCATTTTATTCTCAAATTTAAAGTAAAGCGATATCTAAAGCAAAGAACGCCGCAGGGCAAATGAATGACAGTTTTTAGGTAGTTTTTAATTCGACTTAGTGTATGATTGATAAAACTCATACATAATATCCGACAGTGTAACCCGGGGTTCAGTTTCCTTTCCTTGCTTTAAATATCGCATTTTCATCAAAATAGATAAATGAGGCCAACCTTTGACTAATCATTCGACACTTTTAACAAACTTATTGAATTTAAAATATTGAACATGACACGCAACGTTTTCGCACGCTTTAATAAATGTAACTGTTGCCGGTACGTTTTTTCTCTGAAGACAGAAAACTGACCATAAACTTCTAATGGTTTGATTCCACACCACCTTACTAAAGTGTGGCAAGATTTTGCACATTATGACTCGAGAAAATCAAAACGTGCCATTGTTCTGCCACTGAAATGTGAAACAAGTTATTAGTTATCTGTGGCAATCAAACTCTTCAAAAAGATAAATATACTTGTTTTTTAGTTCCTAGCTAATTCAAATAATATATATTATTGTTAGTGAGTTTTTGTTCAACGCGACTCGATTGCTTTTGGTTGTGTGTGAAATATTAAATTGAGAAAAAAAAAGGTGAGATTCATTTTTAGCCGAAAACAAATGTCCTCTTTTGTAATCCAGAACCAAAATCATTCACAGTATAAGAAAAGTAAATGCAAGGCGTTAGGGCTGGAGGGGAGACTGGGTACAACCCGGATCTGTACAGTACCCCAAATGATCTCCAATATGGACCGTAAATCATCCCATTACGCACCTTCTTCATCCTGAAAAAATATAAGCCGGTAATTTTTCGAATCCCTGTGATGTCGCTGATAAAAACAGCACGCTCTCGCTGTTATTCGAATTTTAAGTCAATCCCGTCCCAGTAAAACCCATTAAAGAGTTATGACTTTCCGAAAAATAAAAGAAAAAATATGATTTTCATTTCACCATTTTTTTCCATTCTCCACCAACTCAGTCGTGATCTTTTAATCAATGCATGATTTTTAGACTGATAAGTTGAACAGCGAAATATTGCAGATACTGATTATAAGTTACAGTGGGTAGTGATTGGGAAGGAGGAAAGTTTATTTGAAATGACAGATCTGTAGCTATTATAAAAGGGGCCGAGTTTGTACAAAAGCTAAGGAAGTACAGTAAGTATTTAAGTAAATACGTTTATTTAAAAGGTTGACATTATAGAGCTCTTTCTCGATCTTTCGACTTTTAAGGCTCAGAAGCTTCTCCTAGTTTTTCTTTCATCACCTAACACTGAACAGTGGGGCTCTTTGTAAATTATGAGCGGCTGTTAGCTTTTCGGAATTCATAGATGATCACTAAAAGAATACACACAAAAGAGGAACAATACAACAAAAACAAACAAAAGAGAAATAGCAATTGGTACTTTATAAACACTTAATTGAAATACCACTCATGATACAAGCCGAAGGGGTACGAAGTTTCTTTAAGAGTCTCGATACCCTTCCCTTTCGAATCTATTTTTAACACCGAAACATTTATAACTTAAAGAAAGACTGCATGTTTTATTTTAAAACGAACAAAAGACAAGAAGTACATTAGCTTTCCTGTCAAAACGGCCTGTTACGAAGAACGGCTGAAGACCGGTCGGAGGCCTCGCTCCCCGACGGCGACGGCAGAGAAAACGTCACTATTAAAAATGAATGTCGCGTTTTTTCAAATTTTTCCGTGTTCATTCCAAATTGCTGAAAATGTCAAATGTAGGCGAATGTCCTCGAGTTGGTTTCTTGGAGACCGTACACAAGTTTAGAAAGACAAAGAAAATTTCGTAGTTGCTTGTTTACGTAATCCATAAAACGTGAAATGAGGCATTTTCACGTCGTAGTCATGCGGTGACGGCAAAGAAATGTACAAAAAGCATGATGCTCGAGCAAATTTGTATTTTTGCTCAATAAACCTACTGCTTTTATGACATTCTCGCTACCGTCACCGTCGTCTTTACTAAAGCTCCCTTATGCTTCTACCTAATCCTGCCCATAGTGTCCTGCCCATCCAGTCATAAATAGCAGGACTATCACTTGAATTCCACATTCCTTTTTTGCGGCAGAACTAGCTTAGTCGGTAGAGCGCTCGACTGTGGAGCTGGAAGTCGTGGGCTCCGATTCACCCCGCGCCGGACCAATACTCAGGGTCTTGAAATAACTGAGAAATGAATTTGCTGCCTTTGCTCTGCAAACGGCTAGACCTTTCCGTGGCTCAGATGACCACGTACAATGTCGGTCCCATCTCCAGTAGGAGAGGTAAAAATCAGTAATGTCCCCAGTTTGTTCTTTCGTGCTTAATACATTGACACTAGATCTTTGTCGAGAATGCCCGTTACTATGGATACGGGTAGTAACCTTTAGTAGTCAAACATAAGATGTTTAATGCAAATTCAGAGTAAAAGCAGAGAAAACTCAATGACAGCTTTTCAGTTCACTGATTGCGGACTACGTGCTTGTCAGTATTTTTTCTCGTTCTTTGTTTAATAGCGAATTTGTGCCTCGTTTTTTTTTCTTTGTCTTAAACTATTACAATTCAATGAATTTTTAGTGCTGAATTCATGCATCAAAAAAAAAAAAAAACAGAACTAAGAAAGTAATTGCAGGTTGTATTTACGACTTGAAAACAAAGGCTGACGTACCGTTCGTGTTGAGGCCAAATAAGTGATTATCTTTAAAAAGCTCCTTTCCTTTTTTCAGTCTTCTGTTCTCAGTTTAAAAAAATTGAAATTAAAGATGCTTTTTTAAGGCTAAGAGGTTTTAAAAAATTTAAAATCAAACCTTTTCGAGTAATTGAGTCATCTTCATGGTAAAAATACCATTCACTACATTCACACTTGTTTTACTACGAAAGTGCTAGAACATTCAAGATCGTAACAGTCTCGCTACGTAAGCGGACCATTGTTTGTTCGGACGGTCCGACTTGTTATTCAACTTTTAAAAAACCTTAAAGTGCAAAATAGTATTTTCAATCTCAAGTAAATTTGAAATGTTTGTTAGTTTGGGATTTTTTGTTTGTTATTTTGATAGGGTCATCCCGAAAATTGTTTAAACACTGTATGAAACGTTGGCAGGAGAGCATTAGTCGCAGGAATGATTAATAGCTCGCACTATAAAATACTCCTGCGTTACAGGCTACTAGGTTAGGACAAAACTCGGCTTCCGTCGCACCGTTTCTTCCCATCTGACGAACTAGCTCTGGTTCACGAAAGATGAAACCAAGCTTGTTCGGTGAAGGTGGTATTTTTTCATTTTTTTTTATATGGAGCAAGGTGAAGTCGAGGACAGTAATTTCACAAAAGATAGAACGAGGCCAATACTTCTGCCACCTTATTGACCGAACAATGGTCAATGGCCAAAACAAAATCTTTGCTTGTGGAACAAAGCAAGCAATGCTGATAGAGGTGGTATCATTTAGGCCCATCTTGGCCTCTCCCGGAGTCACTTTCCTAAAAGATATATACATAGCTGGACTTCTTAACTCTTGGCTTCTCTGAACAATCATTAGGCGTATTCTTTACAGTTGATTTTTGATGTATTCAACTCTTTCACCTGGTCAGCTGTGTTTTTGTTTTCGTCGGTTGGACGAAGCCTTTAAATAGTATATTTCTGAATTAGCGCTTGCGCTTTTAAGAAATCACGCTTCTTCAAGTCTATCAAAAAGAGGCATTGCAGAAGACAAATGAAGCTTCTAGTCCACCCACTGTTGGTGATATTTCTCTTGAACTTCGTTTCCGGTAAGTCCGATGTTTTTTAACCCAAAGTTTGGACCGAAAATTTGATCAAGTATATGCAATTACCATAATTTCCTTCATCGAGTCGGCGCTCGGTCAAGTATAATACTGTCATAGCTTTAGCCGCCCGCCATGTGGCACTAGCTACTTCAGTTCACTTCAATGCACCAAAACAGTTTAAAGAAACCAGGCTGACGTAATTTCTGTTTTAGCCGGCAGGAGATGTATTAAACAAGAACAGAGAATACGGATGAAAGCAGCTAGAATTGTGATTCAACTCTTTCTTGATCAATAATATAGCGTACCTAATTATACTGATCCGGAAAAAAAAATATCGTAAAGGGGCCAATGTATTTTATCTGATTCATCGTCTTTACATTTTGCTTGGAAAGACATAAGGAAAACAATTTAAGAGATAAAAGCCGCCCACCCTTATGGTCGTCTTATCGGCTGAAAGAAATTTCAAGAAGAACTTGAGAGCCTTGTCTCCAAAAATAACCCTGCAAGCGGGGTAATGTCCTAGAAAAAAAAGCGCGCCACGGTAAAATTCCTGGAAAAATCGCCATTTTCATAGCCTATTTTTCGCCAATGACTTCCCCTGTCTCCCCTCTGAAGTTTTTAGTAAATCCATATCAAGGGGCAAGAATGCGCAGCCTAAACCAAACCGTCAGTGTCTGTGTCTCAAATCCCAGTCAAAAAAGTAAGGAAAACCCACAATTTCAGTTCCTATATTTTAACGCTTTTTGGACCCCTAATTCCCCATTATTAATACAGATTATGTGAAAGCACGGCCCCATTTCTGTAATCAAGACGCTGATCCTGGTCGCTGTATGGCTTACATCCCGAGGTTTCATTTCGATCAACATGATGGCAAGTGCAAGGAGTTTATCTACGGTGGATGCGAGGGGAATAGAAACAACTTTGAGAGGCTGCAAGACTGTCAAAACACGTGTGGAGCCAAAGATTTTTCTGCTTTGAAATAAAAACAAAAATCAAGGGGCTACTATATAGCATACAAACCATGGAATATCATTTTCTCCGACAAGGAAACGTTTGTAGAAATATGCATTAACATCTTAAACAAAAGCTACTTCACCTTTCGTGACTAACTATGACATAGCTCGTGAAATTTTTCTTGTTTGTAGTAAATAACCACTAAAATGAAAAATAATGAAAAATGAGTGTGGGTGTCATTGTTTTATACATGGTAAAAAACTATTATCTTTACTGAGAAATTTTATTTAAAGAGGTAATCGTGGCTCAAAATTAAGTATAAAATATAGCATTTTACGTACTCGCTGATGAAAAAGGGGAAATTCAGGACTCAATAAATATACTTAAAGGCCTGTGACATTGTCATCAGAGAGGTTTTCTGGCCGCTGTTGCGGCACTATGGAATACCTGCCCAGTCACCATTACTATTTATAGCCACCTAGCAGGTGGTGCATAATGGTCAGAAGACCACCGCGTTGAGCAGCATGAGGACAAAGCTGCCTGCTGTCATCCTTGCTGTTTCTGGTCCCTGATTGGGTCATAAAGACAGCTTTTTTTAAGGAGGCGCGATATCCATTGGTCTCTCACGATGTAATTTTGACCTGGCTCCATTGTACTACGGGATATATGATATGAGAGACAACACACCTGGACACGGGGTTTGGAGAAACCGGCACAGTGCGCAACGTTCTACCTGAAGTTCGATGCCATAAAGACAAAGCAGATGTGTGCTGCTACCAAACAGGGTGGTAGTGTGATGATTGCAGGGGAGCAGATTGAGTGAAGTGGGGGAATGACTTGAGGAGTCAGTGACAGATCTAGGGGAGGGGCCGGGGGGGCCGCCCCCCTTAGTTTTAGACCAAACTGAGGCCCAAAGGGCCGAAAAAAATGTTTTTTGAGACTGTCCCCCCCCCCCCTGTTATCTCAGGGTCTGATGACCGGGCCCTCCCCTTACCTGAAGGTCTGAATCCGCCACTGGGAGTATTATAAGTTAGAAAGGGGACCGAGGAGGACATACCAGACACACATTGGGAAGGCAAGGCAGCTACTTTTTGATGCTGAAATTGATATTGTGGTCTACGTCACTGACAACTAGAAGCAAGGTGAGAGTCTTTGGGGAAAATGTGAAAGCTTTGCTCATTTCGTCTAGGGCTGAAACTAAGAGACTAGTTTTCATTAAAAAGTTCTGGGGAGCTTCCTGCGGATTAGGCGGCCCAGAAGAATCCTGAATGAAGAGCGGTGGAGGCAGATAGACCAGTGGTCGATGAATGAGATTAGATGGAAAAAATGAACGTGGGGATAGATTGGGCACACACTGAGGTGTGTCCAGAATAATAATCTCATGGCCACCATCTCATTGGCTGTCCCGTCTCCTTTACGGGAGCCTAATGACACAAAAGAGTGTTGTTAATTAGTACTTTCGCAAATATATGGAACCTTAAGAAAGTATTTTTTTGTATTCATGATTGAAATACCCACAATACTAGGATATTTTGATATTGTGGTCATTATTGTCCTAAAAACTAACTGGTAAGTATTCCTATCTAACTGGGGCCACCCAATTTACCTCTTCTCGCCTAAACCTTCTTCTTTAACCAGCTAACAGTTAACATGAGACGAACATTTAGTGTGGTATAGTTTAATTCACTTCCAAGTGATAGCTTTGTACAATGAAACAGTTACTTTAAGACGATTTTCCTCAAGTCTTATTGTGCGGAATTAACAGTACGCGACAAACCTCCTATTTTTTTCCAGTAAGTATTGATCTCATTTAATATTTTATGAAAAGAAAACTGAATGTTCATTTACGATCGAGACATTTCACCACTGAACTATCAATTTCCAAGTAGCTCAGAAGCCAGTTACAGCCTGGGCTGCAGCAGGCAGTTCCTCTTCGCTCTGTAAAAGAAATGAAACAAAAGTAAAAATAAAAATCAGTAGAACAGTATTGAAATGTGGAAATCTTAATCTTACTAAAATATAAATTTCCTTTTTTAGTTTTGTGTTCACATCATTTTATTCTTTCCACTTACTTTTGAATGAAGACTCAGCTGTGTTGGAAGAAATTTCTTAAAGGACTTTAAAGTGTGGCCTTTTATTCATGTCCATGAGGAAACAGAAACCCTCCAAAAGGAAAACAGCTCACGTGACTTAACAAAGACAACATTAACTGATAAGGTGTCGTGACGGATACGGAAATATATTAGAAATGAACTTATAATAGTTTTGACATCGAAAAGTTTGAAATTTTAAATATGCAGTTGTACTTTGGCGATAAGTCAAATGTTGAATCTTCTAAAATTCGATTAACCAAATGGATCTTACCTATTTCAGACATCTCGTATTCTAATTCTGTAAAAAAAGGGAGGAAATTATGTTTCGTGTGATTCCAGAATTAGCAGTCTATTTAATATTTATTCACCCTTTTCCTCTCAGTCCCTTTAATTCACCTTGTTTGCCCCTCAAAATTTTGCATAACCAGGAGCCGATTACATTTTCTTCTCCTGGGTATTACAGTCGTCCCAAGAGAAATTAAGGACAATGTTTGGGCAAAATCTTGTGGGCAAGACGTCGGAAGACGTATTATGGGAGATGTGCAAATCCAACCTCGTCCCCAGGGCTTTTCCCTTAAAAAATGGGTGGGGCGGGAAAAGGCCCTAGCATCGGCTGGTCACGTGTCCACTTGTACACCCTAAAATCCTGGGTGTAATAAATTAGCGCTATGTGAAAAGCTAAAATTATGCCGAACCTCACAGCGCGCGATCTTGGGCGGCCTTTTATATCTCTTGACGAGTAACGAAAAGTTTACAAGATTTCTTTTTTGTCACAGACACTGGCTATGGTATTTTTTTGCTTTCCTCCGATTTCTATGATGGAGACAGCGAGCGGTAACATTTGTAAAACTTCCTTTATAGAGCGATATAAATGACAAAAAAGCTATCGTAAATGCATAAAGTTTGTACTACCGTGGAAAAGTCCGTTTTCGCGACTCTTTTGATATTTTATTTATTTCTTGCGAAGTGGATCGCCGTACACAACCTAGTTCTATTCACCTTGACTCTCAGCCATATCATAGCGACACGCGTTTGTTTAGACTTATCTAGTATGACCTGTATTTTTAAAAAATTCATTGACCTCCTCCTTCCCGTCCCACCCATTTTTTAAGGGAAAAGCCCTGGGGACGAGGTTGGTGCAAATCGCGAATTCCAATTCCTGCTCGAAAATTTCATTATTGCCATATCACAGTGGAGAAAAAAATCATTGTTCTACTCATAAAAGTTGACTTATTCTGGAAAAATATAACCCGTCCTAGGCATTTAGATAGTGGAGAGTGGGCCGTCACCAGCCGGTTTCTGAACGCCAAGAACATGCTAGAAGAAAGGAAATGTTTATCCCATTCTTCCTTCTTCTAAAGTACATTATCCCATTAAAGATAAAATTTATGCTATTCTTTTTCGATAATTGTTCTTTGAACCCCAACTTCTTTGTGCCAGCCGATCTACAAATAAAGCTAATCGTCACAGACTGAGAGCAGGGTAGCCTCCCCGCAGACGTCCTTTGGGGTTCGTTTGTCGGGGAGAAATGAATGCGTGACAAACGAACCCCAAAGGACGTCTGCGGGGAGGCTAAGAGCGGGGCTGTAGCCGTATACTGACAACAACGACAATCAGCAGTTATACAGCCCTGCTAATGAATTTAAGGACGAGGTCACTCCGAGGGGGGATTGTGTATAATATTTCTAACCACAAATACAAATGTGATAGATGAGTGTGTTAAAAAAGCGTCTGCCTTCGATTGATTCAGGCACTCGACCTTCGCTTCGTTTCCCGCCAATTTCATTTCACACTCACGCATCAAAAGCCAGGTTCCCAAGCGTATTCCAAAATGGCGGCGCGCGATGCTCGACAACCAGCGCCTTGGAGGATTGTCGGAGAAGTTTCATGTTTGTTGCAATCGAATCCTGAGGTCGGTGAACTTTAAAGGCTGATAAAACGGTCAGTACTTAACAGGTTTTAGTTCATTTATTTATGTACAGAAAAGCAATGTCCTTTCCGGGGGTGAACTTGTCCCTTGGGTAGCTTTTACACGCAAAGATCGTTCCAAGTAAGGTTTAGCGGATCAATAAGCTTAATAGCTAGACCCTTTGTGACCTATTTATCATATTAACTATAAGCATTTAAACTGCGCGCCTCAAAAGCGACCGGTTCTGAAGATATTTTTACATTAATTCGTAGCATTGCTATGGATCAGAATTCCACTATAAATTTAATTTCGCTAGTACACGAAAGTGCTCGCATTAGATGACTATAGAGACCCCTATACGGTTGTGTGGGCATGCTGAGTAATCAGGACAAGATGGCGGGGAATTCAAAAGTTTGAATGGGAATTCATAGTCAACTAATTCTTCCTAATTGAATATACTCTTCACTTTCCCTGTTCAAACTTTAACTAATGAACGTAAAGAAACTAAACACTAAATGTGGAGTGCACAGCAGTCTTTTGTCACTTTTTAGAAAATTTGATGTCTTCCATACTGTATCTGTAATTTTTGTGTCGTCAGATTACAGAAAATGTATGGATGAACTCAGGGTTTCTAAAAATCAACAAAGGACTGCTATGCACTCTAGATTTAGTGTGTAGTTTCTTTATGCTCATTAGTTGCATTTTAAAGGGAAAGTGACAAAATATAATATATTCAATTAGCAAGAAATAAAAATGACTTTATATTCTCATGCAAACTTTTGATTTTTCCACCATCTTGTCCTGATTACCCAGCATGCCCTCACAATCATAAAGGGGTTTGTCGGCAATGCAACTTTTTATCAAACCTGTATGCAGAATAAGATTTCAGAAAAATTGAGAGTGCAATAAATATAGCCGTAAAACAAAAGACAGATTGTGTCTGAGAAAGATCAAAGGTGAGCTATTTTAGTCATAGAGACTTTGCCTTGGTTGGGCAAAACATGTTGTTCCACGCATGAAGTGGGATTAGGAGTCAACAAAACCTGAACTGGATAAGCCTGGATCAACCCATTCATTAAATGATAAAAGATTAGGGATAGGATTATAGAGTTTGATCTAATCCAGTCTGATCAAGGTTTTATCAGCAGACCAAAATTTTTTCATTGTTGATGTGCAGTTTTTATACTGACTCAAATTATGGACCCTTGAGTCAAGTTGTTCTGTCAAAGTTGAATCAAAGAAAAAGTGTTCAACAAGGGGGTCTAAATGAGGCAAATAGTAATCATTCATTTCATCCTAAACATACATCCACCGGCTTTGTGGACATACTAAAAAAGGAAAAAATAAATGAAATGCTCCAAAGAGGGGCCAAACCCATGAGGTATCATGGGATAGTCAAACCAGTGAGATATGGGAGACCCTAGAGTTTTTTGCAACTTACCTCTCTTTTTAAACTCTTGTATTAAGTTAGCGGCACCTTTTGAAAACAACAAAAAAATGGAATTCTGTTAGTGAGGCAACGCACCGTCAAAGTTAGGGAGGAACGGGGAAAGGGGTAAGTTCATCCATAAAAAATTAGTCCATTAATTAATCAATTAGCTATTACAGGGAGCCAACTAAGTAAATGATCAGTACATTCCTTTTGGTTTCTTGCCACTAGATTTTGTGTTCATTTATTACATTGATAAGATTTGTGGCAATTCAATAAACTCAAACTAAGCAAACAAGGGTGATTGAATGCCATTCATTATTACTAGTAACCCCTCCTGCTTTAATATTTTTATTGTAAACAGACCAATAGGGAAGGATATTTGTCCCTCTTGTTTAAGAATTCCCGCATTGTCGCAGTCAGGGGATAGTAGAGTATTAAATAAAACTGTAATATTAGCCTTGTTAGGGTCTAATTTCATAATATCTGCAATACTGTGCTTACGTTTCCTGGTTACTTGTGAACAAGGGATGTGACTTGCCCCCAAATTCACGTGATAGTGTTCCAACAGGCCAAGTTCTGGGCATAGTACTTTACTTCTGGTTTCTAGCAGAAAAAATGTAAGGGTGGCAAGAAATGATCAGTAAGTTTAGTTCATTATTATGACTAGTTTCCTATCATATAAAGGATGAAGGAATGGGCAAAAAGGAAGAAAGGGAAAGGAGATAGAAAAGAATGAGAAGTGAAAAAAAAAAAGAAAAAAGAATGGAATTAAGAGAGCAATAAAATAATATTTTTTTACCAAGGTCAGCATCTTCAGAATCAATTTCTGCAAGTTAAAATCAAATAAGACTTTGTTAATATTGATAAGCGAAGTACTACTTTATATTGAGACGAATAAAAATAAAAGTAACTTAGGACTGGCCAGACCAGAAAGTACTGACACTTGCTCAAATAACTGACTCTCTCTAGCTGATAGATTGATAGGTATAAATTTTTGTGTGTAGTTCTCTTCTGTGTAATTTTCGTGTGTGCTCAATCCCTGGCCTTTAAATAGAGTGAGGCTGGAAACTTTTTTGTTAAAACCTTCCTGCTTTTTGTGTCCAATTTGTGCTTGAGCTAACAAGCCCATGAACATTATCATTTTCATTAAAAACAGAAAGGTTTATAAGGAAACAAGGTCACCTCTAGTTTCGCTTCTATTCAAAGGACAGTTCACTGAGCACATAACTATTACCTGGTTCATACCCCAGGGGTACTCCCTATAATGGCTTATCTGGGGAGGTTCCGCTCAAAAGGGGTACATTTTTCAGGCTTTAAGTATATGAAGGGGTATGGATTTTACTACTTGAGGTACATGAAAGGGAAGGGAAATCTGTCATTTCGGTCGTAAAAAGAGCCAGAGGAGCTACATGTAACAGATGCATTTTATGGCTGTGAAAGAGTCGGGAAAACGTTCTGGTTTTGTGGTTTATTCATATTTTAAAGACTGAATTTATAGCAGTTAAAAGGGATGGAAAGTTCTAAACTAAATACGTATCAACAACGGTATATAAAACAGGGTAAGGGGTTGGACCTTGGGCCGGAGCCTCCCGGTATAAGACTTCCCCTAGAGTTCATACCTTTACCTGGATGTTCTTGCTTTGTATTTCCCCAAAAAGTTTTCTTTTACCAGAAATAACCAAACAAACTTCGGACGTCATTCTCTTCTTTAAATATTTATTTGGTTTTGTTTTCACCTTAACTAGAAATTTTCAGAAAAATAAGTGTTCTGTTTTTCGAGAAGAATAAAAAGAGAAATGAACATGAAAAGAAATTTATATTGAATAGTTTCTTTCAGGGCCAGCTTCCTTTTCTCTTTCAAGTAGCAAAATAAAATTAAGTTTAGTCACACTTGTTGTCTGTCGAAGAAGACTGATAAAATTCATAAAGATTCATTTGAAACACTTTTGAGTATTTTGCTATCAGACACTTAGTAGTAAATAACAAGAAACGTTTGCTACTAACGTTTTGCTGTTTCCCGCATCCATTCATTTTCTCTCGCGTCTGAGGAACATTTTAGAAATGTTAAATTATCGTTAGCTGTTAGTAGTAGTTGTTTATACCTTATGCAGTCAACAAGTTTAGAATATAACGGTTAGGGGCTGACCTTTAGCCGTAATTTTATTGTCGGTGATAAAGAGTTACAGGTTAGGCCAATATTGGCAAGTTATTAGTTGGTAGTTGATACTGTTTGCTGGTGTTCCGTACCAGATGAGCGTTGTTTGTCAAGAAAGGAGTTAGGCATCTTCGTAGATATATTTTAAGCCACATTGCCTTTTTAAATAAGTTGTAAATTATCTTTAAATCATATCATGAATATAGTGCATGTTAGCGGCATTAATATAAACCTGTAATTACGTCCCTCATGTGTAGATCACTTCTGTGAAGCTTGAACGTGGCTTTTTTTGGTATGCAAAATATGTGGGATTAAGACCGTCTTCAATCCACCGTCGCGAAAGATGGGATAAACCCCTCTGAACGTAGACAAAAGAGACTATGTTTTGTCTTAAAAAGGTTTATTTTGAGGAAAAGTAAAATGTTTCGTTAGTATACCAAACCCATTAAAAAAGTGAATAACTCTGGCTGCATGGGTGTCAACGACTTAAGTTTTTTTCTGGGCAAATAGATATTTACAAGAGTGTTCGTTCTTCAGTAGATTCAGAATACGGTATTTTGCAAGGTGATGAATAATACGCAGATTACAATAAATCATTTTTAACGACTAGGCTTTAGCGTTAATAAACTACTTTGATTAGGGTGTACATTCATTCGTATATTCTTGTTACTATGAGTCAGTGTTTTTGTATATTTATTTACCCGGCGTTGCGCGGAATTTAAAGACGAAATATTTCCCTCCTAGCACTATATCAATGGATAAACAATGCTTGGTAGACTTTAAATAAGAATTAAATAGCAAAATATGAAGGATGTTTAGAAATAAAATATGAAAACCTGATAGTGAAAACCTATAAATGATGTTGCCATGAACGAGGTGAAGCGTTTAAAAAATGTGGATTGTTAAATTCGAATGCACCTTTTAACTTTTATGCAATTTGACGTATAGAGTGAACCATCTTAGTCAGTGACTGCGACCTTTCACATTCTTTGGCTCTTCAAGTGTCCGTTGGTATCTTCTCGTATATTTTAATATGGAGATGTCTTCATGTCCATGTTTTACTGCTGATATATTTATGTATTTATTGTTTTGGTTACGCTTTTTTACGCTTTACCAGTCTTATTATCCCGCTTTACGTTAGCGTTATTGCTGTATGTGTGTTTTTGCATTTGGTTTTGAATGAGTGCTACACAAAAGTTATCAAAATACACTATCCAGAGTCGGTTTATTTGGGCCTAGGCATTTCCTTCCTCTTTCCAGTTTTGTTTTTCTAATCAGACACTTATATTACAGAGCTCCTTTTTTTTTTTAAAAAAAAAAGTAAGATGAAGAAACTGAGAAATGTGAAATAAATTGTATTCTAATGTATTTTGTCTATATTGGGGCTTTTGTTTTCTTCCAAAAGTCTGCCGCCACATACCTTTCATTCTACTTTAAAAGTAATGAAAACTCGGCTTAAAAAATACATTATTTAAAACTATTTCAAACTTTACTTTTCACTGAACAGAGACGCCGGATATTGTTTTTTTTTTTCCTTTTTTAATGAAGTCTACTGTTTTATGGCTTGGAGCACTCAGAAAAATAGGTTTGTATGAAACAACCCTGAATTGTGTGCGCCGGTAAAGACCGTTTTTGAAATGCTTTTTTTATCGTCAGTTTATGCACTGCCTTTACCTTAATTTGTCTTATAAAAAACTACAGTACCAGTACCCAAAAAATAGTGGACTCTAGTTTTGATTAAAAAAAGGAAAAACTTGGCTAAGTGATAGATATATAAAAAACAAATTGGATTTATTCTGATGTAAAGATTATGAGTTTAATTAAAAGCCAGTAGATTACCGAAAAAAAAATTATTTCTCTTTGCAGAAGTAATTTTAGTTTCACACTGATAAGAGAGACAATATTACAAAAAATTTCTGTCAAATAGTAAGTTGTCTTAATTAGGAAATTTAAATGACAGGCACGAGAAATAACTTTAAGCGTGCATTGGTTATATTGCACTATGAGTGAAGCTTTCTTTAAAATTTAAGAAGTTTTATGTTTTACTATAATGTACTGCAAGGTTTTATTTTCATCTTTATTGCTCATATTTCATTTTCCAAACCGAATTTGACAGTTTATGTACGTTTAATTACGTTGAGTCTACAAAGTGAGAATAGTAATCTGAGCCGTAAAGATGTACTGAAATTAGAGATAGTGCGTGCATTTTTAACTAAAATTCCTTACACCTTTGCAACCAAAACCCTAAACAGAATTTTGATTTTGAGTTTGGTGATTACAAAGAAAACAAAAAAAGTTGACATTGTTTGTTAATGGTGTCGTCCATCTGTGTGAATTACAACAAACCTTGAATAGTCACTCTAACTGTAATCAACTCAGAAATAATGGCTTGCTTCTTACAGAAGATGATAAAACTAACTAGTTGCCGTAAGCATGAAAGTGCATTTTATATCGTTTTTCCTTTCTACGAATCGAAAATTAAATAAATGTACACCACATTATCGCGTAACTTACGCTGAAATTCAATTTTTCCTTATTATTGTACTGGTAAGATAAGCCATATTCATTCAATTACCCAGTTTATATTCTTTTCGTAAATTTATTTGAAAAATTATACTGGCTGATAAGACTGTTAAGGTGGTCTTGGTTAAATTATTTTTGGAAACAAGTATAGTTGTTTGTCAAAGAAAATTTAGGAAATTCAACCTGTCTGGTAGTAATTGCTTTACTTTTATACTTCTTGTTAAATGAAAAACCATACCTTGTTCTTTGCTTGGAAATGAACCTGAAAATTATCCAAAATACAATGATTCTAACATGAAGAAAATGTCGCAATTCTAAATCATTTACCCCGTTATATGTAGTGCCCTGTAGCTTGATGGCCAGTTACTTAGTTTTTCTCTTAATGTTTTCATTTTTGTAAGAGAAGGTTTTGGTTTCGCAATACGAAAGTCTTTCCACAATTTGACATTCTTTTTCTAATATTTCATTAGTTTAAAAACACGTTGACACATATCAGTGGCCACCACAAATTACATTTCAGAAGAGATAAAAAAAATTATGATCCTGGGCAGAACGGATGCAAATCACGATAAAGTGATTTAGATTTTAATCACTCTCCTTTTTGCGTTGATGTCTTTTTTCGTATAAATGAAGATTTTCTCGCATCTATAAGCTGATTCTGGCATGGAAGATAGGTAAAACCCAAAGATTTAAAATCTTCGAAACATCACGTAATTAGTGCCCCTTGATAAATGTGGTTTCTAGTCACGACTAATTCAATCTTATGCAATTTTGTAGAGGGAAATTCAAACGGTTTTTTTTTATCATTCTGGGATTGATCACTTCAATAATATGAAGAAAGCTTTAAAGTAAATTTTTGGGCACATTTAAAACACTGGAAGTGACTCGAGAAGGGAAATATGGGGAATGTAGATAGGGAAATGGAAGTAGCTTAAAAAGAAGATGAAAGGTCTCTGGAAACTTACATGTGAGTCCCAGGAATGCAGCAAAAATCAGTAAGGAGACAAACTTGTCCATGATGAAGAGTCTAAAGTTATTTCTTGAGTTGTACACTGGCTGCGTTCCTTTGGCTTTTGTGGTGCGGTCGATCTGTCAGTCTGCCTTTATAATTTTTTATCAGAGCTAGGATTGCAAACAAATATATTATGTGTGAATGGAGGCACTCTCCTTGTAGTGTGGTTAAGGAAATTAGTTGCAAAGTGTCCCCAGGTTTCAAAATAGTATTAATTTTCTTTTTTCATCTCCGATTCCTTTTGTGGGACAACCGCTGAGGCATTTGGATCTCTTCTCACGATGCTCGGGGGGTCTTATTGTGTAACGTTAAAAGCTCCTAGGAAGTGAATTTATTTCCCTTAATTTTAAATCTATTCTTTGGTTTTTTCCATTAGATAGAGTCTTGAGTGTCTTCAAAAATTTATGGTTTTTATTAATGATTTGAACGTGGGCTGGACGCGGCTATTGTTACTAGAGCTTTAGTCTAGTCGTTTGTAATGTTGACAGCGTTTGATATTCAAGTCATTGGTTTGGATATAAAAATTTGAGATAGAGAAGCAGAGATAAAAGGTTCATTGATAACCTCAGCTAAACCCTTGAAACGGCTGCCGATTGATTGCAGCGGATTGTTTGATTTTGCAGTTTTATTTGTTTAGCATCAAACGCGATCATAACTTTGGCTTAACCTGATATTTATTATATATTCGCGCCTTATATAAGGACAACACTGGCAACATCTTTTTCGGATTATGAACCATGCACAATCACCACCCCACTGACAACTTATTAAAATTTCACGAAGTTCCATAGTCCTGCTTGATTCGAACTTTTGTCCTGTTGATTAACTGTTTCGCGCTATTTTCGTGGACTTAATTAAATGAACCAGTCGACGGGCGCCAGAATCTTCCAAATTCAAACCAACAAAGAACCACATAAAAACAAAAACAATGAAATTTAAGGCAACGATTTGTGTTATCTACCAGTTCGACAAGCGTTTTATTAAACCTCAGCAGATATTTCACCTAAAATGCCAAACTGGGCAATTGGCGAGAAAGGTTATGCCCATTATGTTAGCTTTGGTACTTGTGCACTTTTACAGAGTCTTTAAATTGCACTGTATAAGATGGAATTAATAACTTTATTTCATTTACACGCGTCGGTAGATGTCAAAGAGGTAACTGAATAGAATAATAGGAAGGCAAACCATGGGTGACTTTGCAGTGAAAAGAAAACCATATCATGAGTTCATCTAAACAAACTAGACGTGCACTTGTCCATAAACAATAACAAATGCGGCATGTTCTGATATAAAACTGTCTTTATGTGTTGCAGCCTTGAATAAATCCTATCATTAAATAAGGTTTATATTATTCAAGCGCTAAATAACTTTTGATGGAACATCTACATGAGATTTTTCATTCAAATTCTGAACTTTTCCAATGGCGCTCATTTGACCATATCATATGACGTTGTGATTTCAAATGAAATGCTGAAAAAGAAAAGTTTGTTTTTTTTTCCTATTCCAAAGTAAAGAAATACTCGTTTTGTTAGTTCTATTATTCAGAGTTATCAAAACTAGACTTAAATCAAAGCATTGAAATCAGAATTGTTTGAAAAAATAACATATAGGCACTGTTTAACAAACTTTGGAAGTTTATTAGAACTTAAATTTTCATTAGCGAATTTTTATGTATGAAAACTTTCAAAATAATTGAGAGATGTAGAAAGGCTAAAAGTCACTTTTTTATTCCATCGTTAGTAAAAATTCTTGGTAAGAATCGGTCCAAAGTGAATTAGAACTCTAGTTAGGCCGTTGAAATGAATTTCTACCTTCTGGAACTAACGGACAATCTGAGTTCCAGTTTAAATGACAGAATGCTATTTTCAAAGTCATAAGGACGATCAAGGAACTTCAGTTTTCAGATTAACCTGGCTTTTACTCAGAAAAACAATCACAGAAGACAAATAACTAAAAGTAATGTTGTGTTTGGGACGAAAATAAACCGAGTTGTTGTAGCTAAACAATTCTTTTGTGAATTGCAAAGTGAAACGCAGGTGCATTGGACGGCTTAGCAAATTGAATCGGTAACCCCTTTGTCCCTTTAATGCGATGTTGAGGGAAACTTTTTTCATTTCTATTACAGCTGCGGATGCGTTTTGCATTTACTTTGTGTATTCAATTCCTTTGGAAAAGACGTTGATTAAGTTAAGAAATCCCAAAGAATATCTGACGAGACTGGATAACACGTAAGAAAATTAACACCTCGTAAGAAGATTCCAAGAATGGTATACTTAGTTTACCCGTAAATGTGCCTTCTTTGTTTTACTTAAAAATGTTCTGATATCTGGCAAATAAACGCAGTATTTGGGTGATATATATTAAGCACATTGTATTGATTTTCCATCAGAAAAAAATTAACGGGAAACGAAACCTCTCTTCCGAATTTGAACAGGAATCTTAATTTAGGGACCATTTCTCATAAATAATTAACGAAACTATTAGTTAGAGTTGTTTTCTGGAAACGAAAGTACAAAGTTCTGTCTGCTAAACATCCTAACAAATATTCACGAAAATTGAAGCAAATAAAGATTTTATATCGTTGTGGTTAACCGTCATAGTTGTTTTTCATCCGTTGAAAATAAGAGCATATATATTTTTTAACGCCGACGATTTAAGAAAAAAAAAACAACAACCAACTGCGCAAAGGTTGCCTTTTACTTATTATTATGCAATATTGGACATGACTTTAAATCAATTTGTTTTGTTTGCTTGAATTTCAAAGACTTGGTTTTGTGATTTTGGAAACTTTATCTTCCTTTCTATTCTTTTATCCAAGTGCCATTAACAGACATTGTAATACACAGTTAAATTTGAATTTGCGTCCGTACGTCTTAAGATTTGTGTAGTTACTTTATTGCCTTATAACATTGTCTTTTCATATCTTCATCGTAAGCGACCAAAAACCGAAAACGGTATCTTTTGTCAACTTGAAGGTTGTTGCTTTTAACTTCAAATGCAAAACGCATTAATATAGTTTGTAAAACGTATTTCCATATGCGCTGTATCTGCGGGAATTTTGTTTGGTATAGGCGTTCCAGTTAAAGTGATTGCTGTAAAACAAATATTTTTAATCAAGTTCAGTGAGCTTCAATCCCTCAATTAGTAAGCACTTTTTAAGATTCATGCCTTTGAATATTGACCTTGCGAAAATTCTGCTGGTGAATCATTAAAAGCAAAGGTCTTCTGAAAAGCCCCTTATTGGTAACATTATCTATTCATGAGTCTATGTGTATAACCAGCGAAATTTAAAAAGTAACTTAGAACCTTCTGTGTGCATATAAAAACTATTAAACCTTTATGTAATTCCTTGTATACCTTTTCAGTAGCTTAGTGACGAGGGTATTGATTTCAGGTGTATATACCTACCGTTTACCAAAATTTCATATATCCGCTCAGTGACTGCGAATGCAATTTTTCTGTCTCGGTTTCAAGCAGGCCACTGACAGCATTTCGTTTACGTTCGTCTTTTATTCAATGGAAACTTAATTATGTCAGGCGATTGCAGATAAACATTTGGCTGACACGCAGGCTCGATACGGCGTAAAAATGACACGATTCCCTGCAAGGTCTTAATTTATCTTAAGTGTCTTTGATAACTAGGGTCTTAATCAATTCTGGCGGCAGGAACCGAAACCCACTAAATATGTACAGGTAATGAAAGTAAGATTCATATCTGTAGTAAATTCACTTCTTTTTGTGCATGTTACAATGAATAACTGATTCCCAATGAAAGTAGATGGAAGTTGTCACTAAATGGTAAGCGTATAATTCTCTCTTATGAATCAGTCAAATTATTGAAAGACCAGGGTTCGCCGTTGAGTTGCGATCCTGTTAATGGGTTGAAAGTTGTGGTTGCACTTAGGGGGTTTCTCATTTGTTTCTGACATTTTGTGGGTGGGACAGATTCCATTGTTAACTGACTCATTTTCTTAATCTCAACTGAGACAATCAATGCCTGAATGATAAAAATAAGCTTTTAAATTTTGCAGCACTATACGGTCTCATAGAACAATATTCACGTAATGGAGAGTTGATTAAACCGATCGAAAAGATAAGCTTTTTCTCAGAGTAACATGAATACCTCCCCGGCCTACTTCGTTGCTGAGAGCAGTGTTTCGAAGACTGTACTTGTACTCAGTGAAGACGTAATTTTACACTAAGTCCCGGAAGTACACTGTAATTTGGATCTTACATCTATGGCTTATCGCCCAAATTTTATAGTTTTTTTTTTCAAATTCCTCCATTCAATTGTGGAAGATAAAGGCCTAAAGCATAGCCGCGGTATAACCCAAAATACTGCTCTAATCATTTCTGTATCACCTCTCAACGGTGTTAGCTATCTTGAGTACCCTGAGCTTTTAGCTTCGTTCTCATGGAAACTCAACCTTTCCACTCTTTCTCTTAACCTTTTCCCCAGTTTGAAACGTAGAAGGAAACTGGCAACGGAGCTGTCTGTAAATTGACAGCATATATATTCAGGGTTCGCACAGTCTTGGAAAGTCCTTGAATTTTAGGGGAAGTCCTTGAAAAGTCCTTGAATTTTCTTCGACTTTAAATGTAGTGGCCTGGAAAGTGTTTTTTGATGCTTTTTGGTTGTCCAAGACAGAATATAAATCATAGCTCAGAGAATTAAACGGTTATTTATACGAAGTGCTCAATGTTTTATGCAATAATTAACCATCAAAGCCTTATCAATTTAAGACAAGTGAACGGAAAAATGTAGAAAAGTTGGTGAAGCAAACATTTCAAGCCTTAAAGCCTCATTAGAATAGACCCCGGGGGGGGGGGTACTCGCAGAAAAATTGGGTAGGGGTGTGCGGCCCGCTTCCCAAAACCCTTACCCTATTTATGACCAAAATCTGCGATTTTCCCTACCCTATTTATGACCTAACCAAAAATTTGATACCCTATTTTGTGAAGGGCTTTTTTTGCTTGTATTTTCTAGCCTACAAAGCACCCGGTGGAGAGGAAGGCAAAGCGCGGATGGAAGGAGGGGGACATGATAAGGAAGTAGCTTCTTCTAAAAAAGTGCATTCAAGACTACAGTGCAAAAATCGTTACCCTATTTATGACCAAAATGGCGGCAAAATAGCCAAAATCGATACCCAATTTATGACCAAAACGGCTGAAAAACCCTACCCTTTGGGGCCGCACATACCTATATAGCCCATATTAGGGAGTACCCCCCCCGGGGAATAGACTGGGAATGTGTATTTATGTACAATCTGTGAAATGATATTTCTAGTTGGTGGTCCTTGAAAATCTAATGTGGCCCCGAAAAGTCCTTGATGAATAGTTGCAAATTTTTTGTATGAACCCTGATACTGCTATAAGTAGATATATAGCACATGCTAGAAAAAGCAGCTCCACTTTGAGGCAATCTAAAATCTTAGGATAACTGAAAATGAGCCTAAAATTTGGCAATGTATTACTAGGATGACTATGTTTAGTATACGGGGTTCCGTTTGGCTTTCTACCGTCTGACGGCTGCTAGGAATTTAAAGAAAAATACCCTTAATCGCAAATAATCGTTTCGATTTCGTCAAATCGTTCGAACTTGTCGTTGTTGCTGTTTTAAAACAGACCTTTAGATTCGAGGACGTAGACGACTACGAGGACGAGATTTGACTCAAATTTCTCCTTGAAATATCACTGCTTTATAAAACACAGTGGTCATGAGAATTAAGGACATGATCACACAAGATGAATGTAATTGATACTTTAACAAATTCTCCCCACTACTTCTATTGGAAACGTTTATGGATAGCAAATGAGAATTTGAATTTTGACGTTAGTGTTTAAAGGGTTAAAGTTTTTCCCCCTTTTTCTCAAAAGTAGACACCCCGGAGAGCTTCATTTTCCATTTTAATAAAAATTTAATAAAATAATAGATTGTTTATTAAAACTGCATCGCAGCCAAAGGCTGAATTACGCAATTATTCACAAAAACTTTACAATACTTGAAAATTACAAATGAATCCTAGATAATAAGCCGAAAGCTGGTTTTTAAGATAATATTAAAAATTCTATATAACATATTCATATTGAAATATGTTAAAATATAAAGCATGAATATAAGTGGGATAAAACTACAGCCCGGACTGTTTCGACATCACATATATAAAAGTACCGTAAAATTCGGAAAATAAGCCCCGGGGCTTATATTTTTCAAAGGCCCTTTTTTGGAGGGGCTTATATTCGGAGGGGCTTATATACGGAGGGAAATTTGTGTTTCCAAATCGATTGGGCTAGCCTTATAGTTGGAAATAAATTTACTGTTTTTGCTTCGTTTCACTTTGTATTTGAGGGCAATTTTCCAAGTAGAAGCCCCCGGAGGGCTTATATTTGGAGGGGCGATTTAACGGAGGGTTTTTTGCGTTACCGGTTAAGGGGGCTTATATTTGGAGGGGCTTATACATGGAGGGGCTTATTTTCGGAATTTTACGGTATTACTTGTTCTGTTCGTGCAAAGCTTTGGTATATTAAAAAGGCGCTGTCGTCTTAGGTTATAGCGCTAGTTGCCGTAGTCTGGTGGAAGGAGCGCCTTCAATTTATGGTATGGATCACTGACAATGTTATCAATGTTATCAATGTTATCGTCCGAAAAGTTATCACGACTATTTTTATTGAAGGAGGTTAAGCCCTCTCCTGATGGCAAAATGATAAAACTTCTAATATTTAATAGCCTGTTCCCGTCACTACGATATTTTTGCTAAACCAGAAGCATATAACCCTGTTCAGGGTTATAATTTGTTTCCGAGCTAACACTCGTAGTAATGTGGACAGCTATCGCGTTTTACCGCCAAAATGACTCTAGCTCAAACGGCCACTACTTAGTATTGAGAAAATATCGTTTTCGAAGTAGTCCTAGTCTTAGAATTTAAAGATCTCTAATGTCCGTTAAAGACGTGCTAAAGTCATAGTGCTGCCGTTTTAAATTTAAGTTCATAATCTTAGCAGTGCCTCCCTAGGTTCTTATTATTTTACTGTGCTAGGTAATTTTGACTTTTCGACTTCGACTTAGTTTCGACTTCGATATAATCCGTAGTCTAAAAATTTATCTGAGCTCACTGCTGTATATATGCATAGCAGCGCTGCAGTTCAAACAATTCCGCATCCGGGTAGATATAGCAATCGTTTGACACCAAATATGGATTATTGGCGTCCGGCTACGTGCCTTCTACTCTGGCAATTAGACTAGTTATCTGCCAAACGTGTTAACGCTTCACACGGCTTCAATAAATGATGCTTACGGCATAAAATATAGGGCAAACTAGATACGAAGCGACCTTTGTTTGCCAGTACCTTCCTAGTTGGATTCTTCTAGAAAATGCTTGGATACTTTCCTGAATCAAATCGTTTTCTGGTGTTTTTACTATACCCGTTTCTTTTTTATGAGTAGATTCTGTAGCTTTATGTTTAAAAATGGCTCTTTGATTAAATGCGGTTACGTTTTATTGCATATTCCTCCTCTTCCTTATCTTCATTCAACCTTCTTTTTCCTTCCCAT